CGACATGAGCATTTTCGTCAACCTAACATGATAAAATGCAATTTATGATGAAAATTTCTTGTATTATGACGAAAGAGAATCGTGTGGCGTGTGTGGGTGTGTACGCGCGTGTGGTTTGTGTGGCGTGTGCACGTGTGTGTGCGTGAGCGCGTGAGCGGTGTGTGCGCACGCGTGTGTATATATATCAGCTATAGAACTAACATATTCGCAACCACATGAAACTATATAATGTTATTCCTTGCAAATTTTATTTTTTCAGATTCACGAAGCCACCATAGGCGTCTCGCTATCGACGGGACATCGCCTATCATTGAAATCATAGCGCCGTTAAATCCTGGAATAAATTCAGGAAAATACGAGCACCCGTGCCAAGTCAAGAACACGGGTGGACATGTTGCACCACAAGAAACCCAACCAACTGATTTATGATCAATTCTCTATATGTGATTTCATTTGAGAAGTGACTTTTAAGCATGCACATGTAAATCATAGTGTTCTTGACATTGGTTTTGCTGCACGTTACCTGAACTGATTTTCTTTTATTTATTATGGGAATTGCTATATTTTAGGTGCTTGAACTTTATATATCCATGTTATTTCCTAAACGTTAAAAGTAAACAGTTGACCACCTATCATTTAGTCATTGTTTAGGCTAAACCGTATAATAAACAGGCTAAACAACCAATTAAACGTTAGAATTTACACGATGTTGAAATGTTATATATACATATATCATTTGAGGAGTGACTTAACAAGAATATATAACTAATTAACTATATTTAAGACTTGGTATTATTTCGGGTGCATGCACGTTACCTAAAACGAGCCATTTTATTATTGTTTTCAACAGTAGCTTTCCATGCAAAAAGATTACTAGATGAACCAAGGGTGCGCTAAATTAATTGTACTCCCTCCATTCAAATTATAAGGTCCCGTTTAGTAGGGCTCCTCTTCGTCTCCGGCTCCGGCTCTGGCTTCTCCAAATGAGCCCTACCAAATAGGAGCCATTTTAGGCGAATGATGTGGCATTGAAAAACATGATTGCCAGAATGTACGTACATCGAAGTTCAAGATGGGTAGTACCATCTTGACCGATTTGAGGAACTTGTTGTCAATGTCAACGTTCAACGCTTGAATTTCTTTCAGGAACATGGCACACATATCTGGATCCATTTGAGACAACTCAAGGATCGATATTTGATTGATGAGTGATCGATGACTGATCTATGAGAAGAGGGACGGTTGTATTTATAGGCTAGAGAGAACGTCGTCGTTCACACAAAGGGGTGAAAGAGTGAATGACCGCTTCTCATTTACCAAGCGAGATTTCAAGTCTATGTAGCAGACTCTCATATTAGTGAATCTACTCCCTTCGTTCTCGTTAACGGGGCGATGCCTACCACAGTGCCACCTACCTGTTTTAGTTTCGCTGGTGTTCGTGGAGCCGCGCCCCTAGTGTTGCAAGCATAGCTACAGCATTAATATCTGGTGTGACCAAGAGAGTGGCACATGGTGTGGTGAGACTGCGTCAAAGATACAGTTACATGTGATTGGGGACTGAGGGCGCGGCAAGCTCCTTGATCAGCATTTTGGCAGCCATGACAGTTAGGTTTTCGGATTCACGGTGACTATGGCTTCAAGTGATTGCCAGTGATGGGTAGTGGGCAACACCGAAGACAGCCAACAATGAGCACAACCTCTTAGTCTAGGCAGACAAGATGTGAGGCGTCCCAAGAGGCGTATGTATTGGGTGAGTGTACCATGAAATTTTGGCATAAGATTATTTAAGAGCATCTAAAGCATCTCCCAGAGTTCTCTAAATCCCTTCTTAATACTTGGTTTTTAGCAAGATAAGAAAAACCCCTCTCTAACAACTCCTAATCTTTTAGAACTTAGAAAAGTCACCATATTTCGCGTAAAGTTACGCGCTTTCGAGTCGTGCGTATCTTCTCTCCCCGCGCGTGTTTGTTGGTGGAAGGGCGTGGAAAGAATAAAGAGTAGGAAAGAGTTTCTGATGCAAATGTACAAGAAAGAAAAAAAATATAAAAGTGGTTGGGATAATTTAGAAATAGTATATGATTCCTGATGTAAAATTGTCTTCTATATTTTAGGAGTGGATTATTAGAAATTCTTGGAGATGGTCTTCTTTATTCTTCTAATATTTTTTAGAGTTGCAAAACTTCATGTTTTTAGAAAAAAATATTAGGTACTCTTGAGATGCTCTAAGAGTCTTTCTAGATCTCACTCTCTAAATCATCATTTAGAGAGTCATTTGCATAAAAATCGGTTTCTATATATTTTCGTTCTCCAACAGTTTTTCTATATCTCAAACGCACTCTAGAGAGTCATTCTTGTCTTCTATTTTTAGCTAGCGAGAAATCCGAAATAGAAGATGACTATATTTACATGACCATTTAGAAAAGCTGTTGGAGGATAATTTTTCACTAAAATCTTTATTTCTAACATTTATGAAAGATACGGAGAGTCTCTTGGAGCTCTAACATCTTCTATATGCCAAAGTAATTTGAGCTACTCCGGTTATGGAATCAGATGGCCATTTGTATGTGAGGCTTTAACTTTAATATTGAAAGCCAACGCTCGGACCCATGTGTTTATTGAGCTCCATGTATGGCTCATGGAATAGAGTTGACCATGGATAATTAATGGGCCAAACATTTGATCACGTGGAAATCTCATTCCATGTGTATATATTGCTCAAACCTACGAGAAGGAAGACACCAGAAAGAAGAAGTTTATCAACTTCGCCTACATGAATATTGGCCGTCGTTCATGGGGCATATGTTCTTAGACCTTTTGCCAAGTGTTTGCATGTGTGGTCATCTATACTTTAAAGCGTCGTACAAGTTTAGTTTTAAGATCTGGAGCTATTCACATCATGTGTATAATTTAGATGAAAGTCAATTTCTAGATATTTATGTAATCTAAAGTGCTTATAACGTGTTGATATACCCAGCTATTATCTAATATAATTCTTCTTTCGTCGGAAAAAAAGAAGCTAGCAATATTAAGCAATTCTATGCATGGTATGTACGTGCATGAGAGCTTGGCTTCAGCTAGCTGGTGTCCCTGTAGTATGTGCATAAGCGTACGTGTTTCTTTTGAGATGGCAGCGTACGTGTTTCTTTTGAGATGGCAAACGTATCTGTATAATGTTGGGACAAGAAGCACTTCTACAACATACATATGAAACAGGTAAAATATTTGCAATATACGCTTACAACATATGCGTATAACCACTGCAACATATGTAATATCCGAGATAAACACTTGCAACATACGTCTGAAACAGATGAAACATTTTGAATAGACGCTTATAACATATATGTATAGCTACTGAAACATATGCAATATCCAGATAAAATACTTACAACATGCGTCTGAAATAGATGAACCATTTCAAACAAACGCTTGCAACATGCCTCTGAAACACTTACAACATATGCAAGATGTGCAACATTCCCCAATCTATTTTTGCAACATCGATGAAACCATTGCAGCGTACCTCTGAAACACGTGAAATATACATTTGCAACGTAGAGGGGACAGAGGCTTGGGCTGGTCAATTCCGGACGACGGAGTGGGAGCCAGCGATGAGCGGTTGCACGCGAGCGCCACTAGCACCAGCGAGCACGCGCGAGCACCAGCATCACCAGCAGCCGGCTTGGCTTGGCAGCGACGGTAGGGGATGGGGGGCAGGGAGCGCCATGGCTGCCGGGGTAGGGGCAGCTCGGTCGCCGGGGTGAGAGGGGGCGTCGCCGGGGGTGGGGAGGGCGTCGCGCCGGGGTAGGGGAGAGCCAACGACTCCCCTGCAACACCGCCGCACCACCTCCATGGATCTTGCTCGTGCTCCATGGATCTCGCCAGGGTGGGAAGAGGGCCACCGGATATGCAGGTGTTGGGGTCTCCCAGTGGGTGAGGACGCCGGAGTGGGGGGAGGGGTGCCACCGGGGTGGGGGAAGGAGCCGCCGGGGTGGGGGAGGAGGACGCCGGGGTGGATGAGGGTGGCGCCGTCAGCCGGAAGGGATAAGGATGTGGAGGAGGAAGCAAATGGATAAGTTTTTTTTTAAAATTTAAAATAAGCATGCAGGCAGTCGGGCAGGGGTAAAAAGGCGTTCGGTGATTGTGCAATCCGACGTCTAAGACATAGCATTTCCGTTATTTTATTTTTTTTAGGGAAATTTCCGTTATTTTTTTGGTTAATGTTTATAGAATCGTGACTAATTATCATCATGGTACGAGGCCAAGTACGAGAACACGTAACAGAGTTATCTCTCGTATGTTCCGGTGAGAAGCACGAAACGAGAACTCTTCGTCAGTACGTGTACAAAGGTGTTGCCACACAAAGATGTCATCTCTAGATAGAAAGAAAGATAGCTCGTCATCGCTAGCCGATCATCATCAGTAAGCAGAAAATTACTCGGATGAAGTTAAACCCAAATTATCAGCCACGAATATATCCTCTCTCTATATACGTCGTCTTGTACAGGATAACACGAACGAATGACTTTAACAGCGTGTAGTATGTAGTGTACCAAAGCCGTGTGGCTCTGGAACCTACCCCCACTTCTTTGGAGAAGGAGCGAGCCACCTAGCCGGCGACGGTCTATCCCCTCCTCTGCGAAACTCTGCATCGGCATGCATGGCGGCCTGGCCGTCCACGTTGACGGCGACGCGATCACACCCACCACCCTTAGCAGCTTTGCCGTCCCCAGCAGCTGAATTCACGGCCGTGAATCGCCCGCCGACGTGGCCCCCGCCGCATCCACGACGGCCAACCTCGTCACGGGTCGCGCTATCCTCCCTCCCCTACCTCTATAAAGCCTATACAAGCCATAGCGCAGCACAACAGCAGCACAAGCCAGAAGCAAACCTCAGTCGGTCAGTCCCCAGCTACATCGATCCGTGTGCCAGCACTTCTCTTCTCCGAACGACGACCGGCCGGCCGGCCACCTAGTTCACCGTACGTACGTGCACTTCCGATGGCGACCACGGCGATAGCCACCGCCTCCGCGAGCTCCCTCGCCTTTTTCGCCCCCGGCACGCGCGCCAGTGCCGGCCGCTTCCCCACCACCCACCTTCCGGCGGGTGCCGGGGGTGCCGTCTCGCTGCGCCGCCGCGCGCTGCTCGTCAGGGCCGCCCAGCAGACCGAGGACGCTGCCGCCGACACGCCCAAGCCCGCGGCTGCTGCTTCGAAGAAGACGCCGGGGCTCTGGGACGCGCTGGCGTTCAGCGGGCCGGCGCCGGAGCGGATCAACGGGCGGCTGGCCATGGTGGGCTTCGTGTCGGCGCTCGCCGTCGAGGCGACCCGCGGCGACGGCCTCCTCGCGCAGGCCGGCAACGGCGCGGGGCTCGCGTGGTTCGCGTACACCGCCGTCGTCCTGTCCGCCGCGTCGCTGGCGCCGATGCTCCAGGGGGAGAGCGCCGAGAGCAGGAGCGGCGGGGTCATGACCGCCGACGCCGAGCTCTGGAACGGCCGCCTCGCCATGCTCGGGCTCGTCGCGCTCGCCGTCACCGAGTACCTTACCGGCGCGCCCTTCGTCAACGTGTAAATACGCCGGGCGTACAGCTGTAGTAGTTCGTTTGTAAAAGGAACTAGTATAGTATACGCTAATACAGTAATACGCGTATGTATGTATGTATGTATAGCTTGGAAATTACTGTATTTTGTAGGATTCCCCAAAAAAAATATTAAGAGGAATAGTTGCAGACTTGCAACACTTGTTTGACAAATTGTATCGTCTCCCTTTAACTTGGTCCGTCACCTGGAAAACTACAATAGCGATGGATTTTGAGTGCCTAGGGTCAGATTTGCTGCCAGGTGAAAGTTGTCAATCCAGGGTTCAAGCCAAACAGCCCCTTCCTGTTATACTCCAGTTAAAACGAACTTTCGTCGCAACATAGAAGCTGGTATGGCATGGTGCTTCGTATTCAGTTCTAAGGGTATATGTTTAGATGAGCTAGGATTAGTCACTAGTTAAGGCTAAAAACTAGTTCAAATTAAATTAAACTTTACAACATTTTACTTTTCATGCAAATTAAAGCTTCAACTGTTTTGACGAACCATTTACAAATGTAAAGGAGAGAAGGAAATCAAAAAGATGTGTCGGGTTGCTCGAGCCTTGGAAATAAGTCCTTGAGTTTGATCAAACTATTGTTATATTCAGGTGGGGACCGTTCACCCCGTTGCACTTCAAAAAAAATCCAACCTGTCATGGATTAAAAAAAACTGTAACAAATTTTTTTGTAGCTAAAAATGTTCTCGAAGGATTCTTGTTGTTAAAAAAAAAGGGTATAGCCGCTACAAAGAAGCAAGAAGAATTAGCAATGCATGGGTAGTATTGACATTTGATGAATTTCTGCCCCCAAATAGCTCCAATATAACATGGTTTTTGATAGAAAACATTGATGCACTAAGACTTTGCAACAGTTGTGTGATGCCATTCTTCAACTCAAGTTCAATTTGTACGTCTTCTTCAGATCCTCAACGTAATGCGTGGGATATAATTTCCACCTTTCATTAATATATAAATATAAATCAAACCTTGTGTGCATAAAAAGGGAAAAAATCTAATACTTTTTTGGTAGCTCAAAATGGTGTTCAAGAGTTCTCCTTAAAAAACATAAGAGGTTGGGTCCGCTACAAAGAGGTAATAAAGAAGAATAATTAACAACGCGTGGGTAGTATTCAAATTTCCAGAAGTTTTCCCCTCAAATAGATCCAATATAGGTGTTGTTTGGTTCAAGTAGAGCCAACGCAAACGTAAAGGGGAGCAGATCACGCCGTGAACGGGAGTGGAACGGTTGTTTACTTGTTTTGTTTGGTTCTTCACACGACTTCTAAAGATGGGTATCGAGTGGCCGAGTGCTAATGGGATCGCATACCACTCGCTGGTGGACGAGAATGAGTTTTCAAAGCGCCCTAACAAGTCACGCTACGAATCGATTACATGCAGGACCTGCCAAACACGATTTACGGAATCAGATATCAAGGGAAACTGTTTACGGGGCAAAATCATCCAACCAAACAGCACCCTAATGTCTGTGGGATAAAAAAAAACATTGATGAAGTAGCATTTTGCAACTCAAATGCACTTTGTGCTGCCATATTTTGACTCAATTTTCTAAATACGCTTTTCTCTAGTTTTTTGGAACTCCTTTTGTTACGTGTGGGGACGAAAAAGAACACGACTGTGCAATGGCTTTATTATCTCCAATATTTGGAACTCCTTTCGTTACGTGTGGGAATGAAGATGAACACGACTCTCCAATGACTTTATTGTAACTTTTTGTCCTGTTCGCTTGGCTGATAAGCTATGACTGAAAATACTGTTGGCTGATTTTCTGTAAGAGAAAAATATTATTCGTTGACTGAAAAAGTACGATTTATAAGCCAAGTGAATAGGACGTTTGTCGTCTTCATGCCCTCACTATTATGTAACTGTATCAGATTAAATACTTATTGGTATATTAATCCAACACGGCTCTGGCGCGCAAAGAAAAGATTGAACGAAATAATGTGTCGGTAGCTCAAAATGCTGTTCAAGGATTCACCACCTTTAAGAAAAGCGGAAAAGATGGGGGCCACTACAGGCAACGGATGGGTAATATTGGACATTTGCAAAATTCTCTCCCACGAACATCTATGTTGGATAGGAAAACACTGATAAACTACTCAGCAGAAGGCATTTTGTGATGAGGTCGCCGTAGAGAACAAACTAGAAATCCGCAGGCGGTCGGAGCTCAGCAGGTTCCAGATCGAGGTTTTAATCTCACTCCTAAACGGGTTCACTCATTCGTTAAACCAGAAAGAATGAACGTACGTGCACGGTGCACCTCTGCTAAAATATCACATGATAAAACCGTGCCTCTCTCTCTCTAGTATCTCCTGCTAGCTTGGACACTTGTTCCGAGAGCGTCTGCATGCATGTCGTCACTTGATCCTCGTAAGTCGTGACCTACACGTCTCCGGCTCTTTTCTGGAATCTTCTGCCACTTTTCGACGACCGGACGGGAGCGGGGAGCCGGCCGGCCACCTCGCCCTTGCCAACCTGCGCGGCGGCCTGGCCGTCCACGTCGATGCAAGGCGACGCCATCCACCCAGTTCGCCCGTGTTCCTGCCTCACTCCACGTCGCGCGCATGTACCAGTACTAGCCATCCTGCTCTCGCCTGCGCGTGCGCCTCAATCACCCACAACCTACGGCCGTGGATCTCCCGCCGACGTGGCCCCCGCCGCCGCCGCCCACCTCGTCGTCACGGGCGGGTGAGCCACCTCGCCTAGCTCTAGCTCCCCACGCCTATAAAGCCGCCACCCCACTCTGGCAACCATCACACAACTCGACAGCGAGAAAAGTGAAGCAAAGCAACAAAAGCCACTGCTACAGCACAGCAAGCCTCTTGCCTGCCGCTACGAGCCAACGACTCGATCTCCACAGCACCACCTCATTTACGCTCCAATGGCAGCAACGGTGATGGCCTCCATGAGCTCCCTCGCCTTCGCCACCGCCGGCGCGCGTCGTGCCGGCGCCTTCCCGGCGTCTGCGCTCGCGCCGCGCCGCCGCGCCTTGGTCGTGAGGGCGCAGAGCGAGGACGTTGAGCCAACGGAGGAGACGACGACGCCCAAGGCGAAGGCGGCGATCCCCGGGCTGTGGGACGCGCTGGCGTTCAGCGGGCCGGCTCCCGAGCGCATCAACGGCCGGCTCGCCATGGTGGGCTTCGTGTCCGCGCTCGCAGTCGAGGCATCCCGCGGCGGGGGCCTCCTCTCGCAGGCTGGCAGCGGCTCCGGGCTGGCCTGGTTCGCGGCCACGGCCGCCGTGCTGTCCGTGGCGTCGCTGGTGCCGCTGCTCAGGGGGGACAGCGCCGAGGCCAGGAGCGGCGCCGTCATGAGCGCCGACGCCGAGCTCTGGAACGGCCGCTTCGCCATGCTCGGCCTCGTCGCGCTCGCCTTCACAGAGTACCTCACCGGCGCCCCGTTCATCAACGCCTAGATGCATGCATAATAGGCGGCTGAGTCCAAGCCAGTGCTTGTATGCAGTAGTAACTTCGTAGGAATATTTTGTAACTGTGTATGCAAGTAGTACTACCATCCGTGTACGAGCCTACTATACGTACAGTTGGACGAGCTAGTTTTATTTACGTTTTGGATAAAAAATAGCTACCAAACTATTTGTTGGGAAAGAAATACAATTCTAACATATATATATATATACGGATCGTGTCAAATTATTTTATATATATATTTATATCTATACTATAAAGTAGCGAATAAATTGAAAATCATTTGTTACTCAAAAGAATTTTCTACCCAGTCTGATTGACAGTTGGACCCACGAGACAACACCTCAGCGACATATGAAACATCCGTGTTTCACGTTGCGGACTCCTCATCCTCGGCGTTTTTTCCACGCGCGAAAACTTTACCCGCCCGCGCGTACCCACACCCGCCGGCTGCGGTTTCTTTCCCTCCCGATGCCTCCGCAAGGCCACGCCGCCAACCGCTCCCTCCCCTCATGCCGACCCCTCCCCGTCCGCTCGGTCCCCCTCGCCTCCCCGAACCAAATCTACAATCCGATCCCCGTCCGCTCGCAACCACCCCCACCCCCAATGCGCCACCGTCTTCCCCACCGCGCAAGCCCAATGTGCCGCCGTCGACATGCCGCTGGAGGTCCCATAGGGGACACAGTTTGCGTTCATGGGATCCTACGCCGCGGCGGTGACCCACGGTGCGCGTCGCTCAGTGGCCTCCTCTGCGTGCTGTCCGGAGGCACCAGCAGCCGTCATCTCCTCTCCAACGCCGGCGTCTCGATCCCTCTAACACTTCTACAGTGCATTCGGTCGCCGGGGGACGGCCCGCGGGGGGTGGATCTCACAAAGATGAGCGACAGGCCCCCTCGCCGGTGGGCGGATCTCACGAAGCAGTAAACGGGCGGCCTGCCTGGGGGTGGAGGTTGTGGAGCGGACGCGGCGGGCGGCCAACTAGGTGGCGGCGCGCGTTGAGCGGCAACCAGCCCTGCCCAGGGCTTCTTCCTCTCTCTCACTATTTGTCCTCCCCTGAGGTCTGCAGGTTAGTCCGCCAACGCTGCCCCTCTGATTTCCAATCGTTCACAGATTGATGGGGAACTTCATGGCTTCCTGCGACATTAGGGGAATTTTTGGCATTCAAGACCATAAGTTTCCACGGTATTATCTTGATTTTGTAAGTAATAACCTTTTGATTTACGGTTGTACCAGATCAGGCGACGGTGACCTTTCTCACTACTTAGATCGGAGCGTTGATCTTAGAGGGAGGACCTGGTTCCTGGTGAGCACAACACTGTGCAGATGCTTGCTTCAGTAGATATTCTATTTCTTTTAGCTTGTTTGAATGATTCGTTGGATTCATGATTAATTGGTCCTATTCTACCTGTCTGGTCTGCCCTTTCTGGTTGGATCACAAAAAATGACATTGTTAAGTAGGTGTCCTTAAGCTTTTCTCTTCATAAACTGTATTTCCACTACTATGGCGCTATAGTTATTCCTAAAATTTACAATACCCTTCCTCACAAGTGTAAACTTACTCTTAATAATCAGGAAGCTTAAAGTTTCTTAAAAGAAAACATGATCTAATACCTGATGTCAAAGTAATGATCTGGATGCACATTTTATTTATTATTGGTTCATGAACCTTAAGAACAATCAAACGAACAAGAGCTAATCATTTCGAAAAGGGCTGGCTTTGGGCTTGCTATGTCATATTCTAAAAATCTAGACTTGATTCAGAAAAATAGAATAGTTAGATTTTGCGAAGCCATTTTATACATATGTAAAGTGTTCTCTAATTCTTTCTTATTAATAATATAGTGCAATCTGCAGGCACTGTCTTTTTGTGTTTTTTTTGCGCTGATCAGAAGCCACTGTCAGCCAAAAAGAGTATCATTTACTTACATCTTTTATTTACACATTTCGTCAACCTGCAATTAACATCTCTATTTTTGCCACTGATCCCAAGCCTCAGCCGGCAAAGGAACAAACTTAAGTTCATAAGAACCGGTGTTCTACTGTCCGAGAGCAAAACTAATATTTTCTTTCTATCAGCTCAGCCCCACAGATACAACTACCACCTTCTTTGTCAATGATAACTGAACAAGGACAAATCTCAGTTCGAGAAACAATGCTTAGTTGCTTACTCATGTTTCACATTCAAGTCTCCCTACTGTTGTTGCACCTACAAAGGTAACTGTTCATATTTGTTTAGTTAATTTTTTGGTGTGTATAAAGAGATCTTGTAAATGATTGCCAAATCAAGCACAAACACCCTCGCCCCTCAAGTATGCTGTTCTCATTATCTTCATACTTCCTGTAAAACTGCTATCATGTCATGGAAATTGTAGTGTTCTAGCTAACAATGAATCCAAAATATATATTCTTGAAATCCAAAATAGACACTTGGTAAGGATAAACACAAACTTTCTTTTAGTGTACTTTGCTTCATACAACATTTTAGTACTATACAGAAATTTAGTAGCTAACCACTGCAATTTAATGTGGGCGCTATTATAATGATGTTTTACACCATATTTTTGAGCTTGTTCCTACGGAAGTCCCTGATTGGAAAAACTGTACGAAAGTCTTTAAAAAACAGATTTGAAGTCTGGTATGGGGATGTGAGATGTAGGAGAGAAATAGGAAGATGTTGTAAGGAGACGGACTCTGATGATGGTAACGCAAGCTGAACATACATGATTCGATCAGAGCTCAGCGAGTTGTTTGGTGTGGGATATGGAGATGTTAGCTCTTAACTTTACAAATGTTTATGTACTTCATACCACTTGAGTTTTTAATGTCATGTAGCCTATTGTATAGCAGCTTTAGAGCTTTGGAGTATGAGTCAAAATGAGGAGGAATGAAATTATGTTCGTTACACTAGAATACGATGATATTGTAATCTTATTATAGACACACATTCTCTTTTTTATATACTTTTGAAAAATGTGATTTTATAAATAATAAAAAAATTATTTGATTTACAATTATGTGTAATGTGTTACCGTGTAAAACCAAAAAGGCGTGAGTGCCAAAGGTCAACATGTTCTATTTAAAGCTCGAAGGAATGAAAACAAAAATACAAATTGTTTTTTTGATGTAACACCTCTGGTGTTTTGACCTAGCATTAAAACTTGACATGTCATCATATGCATTGCAAAGCATTCATAAAGTAGGAAATTTTGAATGCATTCACTAAATAAGCGTTGTTTCATAAGTTGTTATTTTATGTGATGTAATGTGATTCAAAACTCTGAATGAAAATCAGGACCACAAGGGTCAAATTTCATGTGATCATGTGAGACCATGTGTCATTTGACTCAAATAACCCTAATGGGCCATGTAATTGGTCAAAAATCATAATTAAGTAAAAAGGTAAACAAATCAAATTGAAATCAAATTCAAATTATAAAAGTCCTTTTTGCCCCTTTTGTCTATTTCAAAATCCATTTGGAATTTGGGGGTGTGACAAAAAGCAAAGTTGAAGCTTATTTTATAAGGATCACCTTGGTATTCAAAGTTTTTAAAGTTTACATATAAAATTTGGAGTAATTTTGAAATGATTCAAATGCTCAAATGCACCCCAAATTCAAATTTAAAAATGGAGGCAGATTTTGAAAATGTTCACTTAAGCAAAGTTGTAGAGTTTGAAAAGTTGAGCAACTTTTATTTTTGAAGATTTTCAACTTCTTTAGAAAATTTGTGAGTAATTTGCAAAATGAACTCAGTGCCAATTCTGTAATTATTCGGAACAGTAGCACGACCACCGCCCCACCGCCGGCGTCCTTTCTCCGGTCTTCCAGACGCGCCCGTGGCCGCCCTCGGCTTTGCGCTGGCATGAGTTGGTCGCTGCGTGTCGTTCCCTCGCTCTCCTGGCCGCGCTATAAAGCTCCGACGCCGTCGTCGACTTTCCTTTCTTTCCTCTGTTTCCCGACGTCGCCGTCTCAACTCCGTCGAGCTCCCCTCGCCTCCTCAGCGCAAGCCAGTCTCGGCAAAGCAGTGTTCCAGTTCCGTCTCCTCCTTGCGAACCCATTCCACCAACTGTGGTTGTCTGAGTCCACCGAGAACAGCCGCTAGCGAGCCTTCTTCCTCGCGGCCGGCGACCTCACCCGAAGCTCCGTTTCACCGCGGCCAGCGTCATCCGGTGAGCCGTTGCTCTTGCTTGTTGACTCTACAGCTTCGTCTTGATGCGGTGGTGCTTAATCTGTTCTTGCTTGGTCATTTTGCCCACTGCAGTCGCCGGAACACCGTCGTCGATGAAGTCTGCTCCGCCGTGATCGCTGTCACCGTCGAACCGTGTCACCGTAGCTTCTCCGGTCTGGCTCGTTGCTTCAACACGTTCTGGGTGAGTTGCAGATGTTTCCTGTACTCTTTGTTTCCCCATTAACGGCCTTGTTTAGCCGGCGTAACGTTGCCGTGCTGCCACATCCGTCATGGCCAGTGTCAGCCGTGTTTCGTGTCGTCATTAACCTCCGTAGCGCCACAGATCGATGCGCCTAGTCGTTGTGAACGTTTTGGTGCTTTGGCCGTCGCCGTTGGGCTCACCGGCGGCGAGTTTGCGTCGGTCAGCGCCGTCGTCGTCGCGGTCAAAGCTGAAGCTTAGGGATGACAAGTGGGTCCCATATGTCAGCGACTGTGTAGTTCAAATAGAATTTTTCTATTTTCATAAATGGATGAATAGTGTCTGTTTTTGTTATTTTTGTGTAGATTTATTTAGAGCTCCAAAAATAATGAAATTTTTTGTGTGACCTCTCTGTAATGAATATTATTTAGGAAAAATATGAAACTTGAAATTTGAATAAATTTTTAATGTTCAAAAATTCAGTCAATTAATTGATAAATGCAATTTCCATAATTTTTGTAGGCCACTGTATAACTCCAAAAATTATGAAATTTATTTTGGTACACTAATTTGTCATGAGGAATCTTACATAAAATTTTGAAGTCATTTGGAATAAGTTCATTT